AACTCTTCTAGAACATGGCCACACAGTCTGAAAAACCCACAAAAACTAGAAGAGAGACAGCATGCCAGATGGATAGACTTAATTAGGGAGGTCACAGACCTCAACCTACAGGATCTAAGCAAAGTAGTGAAAGATAGGAAGTCTTTGAGATGTCTCTTACATAGGGTCACCATGAGTTGGGGTTGACTCAAAGGCAGTTAACAACAAAGTTTGGCTACATATCTAAACTATGCATATCTCTCATTTCTTCCTGTATAAAATGGAAAAAATAATGACCACAAGGCATTATCATATGGAAGTATGACAGGCTGTCAAGTGTCATTCTGCACATCACTCTAATGAAACCTGCCAAATGCCTCACAATTAATCACAATAATTCCTTAAAACATTCATTAGAAATCTTCTTTTCTTGCACATTTCAATTGGATCTTTCCCTAATTAAAAGCTTATTTATCAGGGCAGTCCTAACATTAGGCAGAGTGGCTTGGGTGCCAGATGTCTGATGGTAATGGCTGCTATCCTACAATACCTCCAGCGTCCCTTGGTCATTCTCTTCTGTTGGAAAACAGAACTGTGCATGTAGCTTTGCTTCTGTATGTGGAATGGGGTGAGAGAGTTAGTACCATCTTGCCCTTGCCTCAGGTAGTAAACTCTCTTTGGCCTTAGTTTTTGCTCCCAGCATTAGACCCCATATTTTGACTCTGGCAGTAACCATAAGATTACTAATGCACAATGACCTGTTTGTATTAGGAAGCAAGAATTCTCATTACTAATTAGTATCCCAAAGATTTATCATAGACAGGCTTATTTTTGCCATTCAATTAATTAAAAGACAATTGTACAAATACATATGGAGACCATGTTGTCTCTAGAAGGTTCAAAATGCTTCTGTTTATTTATACAAGGCTTGTGTGTGTGTGTGTGTGTTGTGTGCCTTCAAGTCATTTCTGATTTATGGCAACCCTAAAGTATCATGGGGTTTTCTTGGCAAGATTTGTTTGAAGGAGGTTTGCCATTGCCTTCCCCGGAGGCTGAGAGTGTGTGACTTGCCCAAGGCCACCCAGTGGATTTCATGGCAGAGGGGGAATTGAACCCTGGTCTCTAGAGTCGTAGTCCCTCACTCAAACCACTATGCCATGCTACTTGATCCTATTGTTTCATGTGCATTTTCTTAGTTTCAAATAAAAACACTGGTGAAACATGTTAAACTGCTGTTCCTTTTTCTGGTACAGAACCTATCCCTCTATTTTCCCATGTTATTTCTGCCTCTGGTACCACATTTTCTGTTGAAGAAGTCATGTCCAGGAACACACTGACTTCATTAATAATAAAGGTAGACCTTTCAACTCATTCAACCACAATCCCTCAAAAGCCAAACCATCTGACAGTCCGTATGAGTTCACGCTGGGATGAGAATTATGTGGTCCTCCAGAAGGTGCTGGACTGCAACTCTCAGCAGTCTCAGCCCACGTAGCCCATGGAGAGGAATTTAGGGAGTTGCAGTTTAACAATATTTGAAAGGCTGTATAGTTCAACCCTCCTGACAGACTGTAGACAAAGGATGAAAAGGACCAAAATAACTTCAAGAACATAAGAAGAGCTCTGCTGTAACACGTGAAAGGCTTATTTAGGCCTGTGTTCTATTCACACCAGACATATATGGAAAAAATATGAGGAAACAGCTCCCTCCCACCCCTATTCCCCAATAACTGGCATTGTGAGGCACTCTGCCTTCCTCTAATACTGGAGGTAATGGATAACCATTATGAACCATAGCCATTGAGAGACCTCTGGGAATCACATGAAGGTTGCTGGTAGACAGCTATCATGAAACAGCAAGTTTTCCTTCAAAATAGTTGCCTCACAGACAAACTCTATATAGCAGTGATTGGAAGGAAATAGAACTATAATTTATTCTAAGCCAAGTGCATGCTTTGAGGAAGGCACGGTATGCCCTTCTGTGACACATGGCTACATACACGCAATGCAATACAGGTGCAGCCCCCATGGCCCAAAATTACCAGGAGTTTTAAAAGGAGCCTAGGCAAACACAATGTGAGCATACTCCTGATCCTGCCAGATATTTAGGTCATTGCAAGGGCACCTAATGCTAGAGACTCTGTTCTATAACTCTGGGAGTACCATGGTTAAACTAGACCTCTTCTCCTCTGCATTTTAAGATTGCATGATAAAAGGCAATGTAAATGGCTTAATCAACCGCACTTTATCCCCTTCAAACACATAAAGGCACATCTCCTTAATGGTGCACAGCAGCAGAGGCTGACAGCAGAGATCTCTCACTCACTTGCAGTGCCCTACATTTGCCAGCCATAATCCAGAAGAAAAAGCGTTAGCGGTATAATATAATGCAACCCTCCAACATCAGCAGCTCTCCCCATGGAGCCCACATTTCACAGAGAATGAACACTTTGTAGAGGCGGAGAAATCAGGGATGTCATGGCCAGATCCTCTGGGTGCCTGATCCTTTCATTACAGTTGTGTGCCACGGTGTGAATAAGTGATCACTCCCCTTTTAATGTAGAATAAAGGCATGCAAAAAGGAAGCCAGTGTGCCATAACCTGCACATTTCCCTACTTTTAACAGATGGCATCATCTTGTCCTGGCTTCTGAAAGGCAATTATGAATAAGAATTGTTGGTATCCCTAGACTTAGCTTGGAAATTTACAAGCTGCCTTAAACTAAATACAGCCATTCAGTCCAGCCAGGTATATGCAACCTGGAGCCCTCTAGATGTCTTGGACTACAGTGCCCATAATCCCTGACTACTGGCTGTGCTGGTTGGCATTTATGGGAACAGTAGTCCAAGAGATCTGGCAGGGACCAAGCTGCCAATGGGAAGTGGCCTTTTAAGTTAGGATTGGGAGTTTGTAACCCTTCAGAGACTGGCAAATTATTATATAGGATAGTTATGGACTTCAACAAGGCTCTTCAATACAGGGGAGGGCACCAGGGAAAGAAACCCTTCTCAGTGCTGTAAAGAATCCAGTTCACATCAGCCATGACAACTGGTCATGCTGACTGAGGCTGATGGGAGTTGATACCCAACAACATCTGGAGGACCAAAGGTTCCCTTTTCCTGCTTTAGTGGTGATACTTTAGGCTACATCAGTTGCACAGGAACATCAGAAAAGTCTTTCTGGATCAGACCCAAGGCTTATGTAGTCCAGCATTTTGTTCCCAGGATGATCAAACTGATGCCTATGGGAACGCTACAAGCAGAACCCAAGTGCAACCGCAACCCCCCCTTCAATATTCTCCAGGAGCTGATATATGGCCTTTGATACCACACCATCTGAATGCACCTGGTATCGTCTGATTTGTGAAGACAAATTGGGTTGGGCCTGGTTAGTACTTAGATGGGAGGCCAGCAATGAATACCAGGGATCTCCAGATAGGACTAAGAAAGAATCCTTCTTGTTAAAGTTCACAGTACTGAGGGAAATGGACCAATGGCCTAATTTTCCCCACACTCCCAAGTTGCCTTCCAGATGTTTTGCATGGTCACTCCTCTCAGACCTATATAACATGGCCAAGGGTGAATGACCATGGGAAGTGACAAACAAATACCTGGTGTACCCCAAGTTGAAGAATGCTTCTATAAGCTAACTAATTAGTCAATTATCAACATATTTATATCTCACCCTATATCTTGCCCTATGTCAAATGGTCTCAAGCTGGTGTACAAGCAAAACGAATGCAATTATTAGGACACAAGGAGAACTGGCAACAAAATAATGCAGTTTGGTGTGTTTCTATTCCATTCTATTGCTTCTAAATCCAATAACTAGTCAGCATTCTCTGACCACTCAGCAAAGACACTATTCAATGGACTGTTTGGGGGATTTGTTCCTTCCCTTTAAGTTCTTGCCTCCCTGAATACTTTTTGTACAAACTGGCTGGCATCTCCCTCTTGGGTATGGGTGGCTATATAATGACCATCATGTTCTCAAATGGGAATCTTCCACATTTTAGAAGAGCTTCCAGGTTCTGGGTTTTACATGTATCCTATGTTGCCAGTGCACCTCCCAACTGAACCATCATTGCATGTGCCCTCCTTGTGGAATTTCCCTTTTCATGCCAAAGTGCCCCCTTGCCCTCTACACACACATACACACAGACACCAATTGCTTTAAATAAACCCCAATACCCACAGTGTTCTGATATAACCCACCGGGATTTAGGAAGACAGGTTCTGGGTCTCCTTTGTTTCCATAATAGTAAATTACGTCTCCCCTGGTGGTGCTAAAAGATAAAAAATAGAAAAAAAAGTTCTCCTTGCAAAATGGCAACTCATTATCTTTGATTAAGTTCTAATTTCATGCAACCCTCAAAACAGCAAGACATCTTTTCCTTCAGTTCAGAGATCAGCCAATTACTTATCTTTTTACTTAAAAAAAAAATCAGATGAAACATTTGCGACAGAGACAGACACTATTTAAAGAAGCTGGTTAAGAAAAGAAAAAGTAATTTTCCAGGATTAATATAAACCGCAAAGGGGTGGGGAGTGGGGGTTGGTGGGGAAAGAACCCCTGACAGTTCTGTATGACTCAAAAAGAGCAGGGTATGTGTACGCATGCTGTTTTCTGCTAACTTTCACTTCCAGTTGAAGCCCACTCAGACCTGCCCTTATTCTGGTTCTCTGGTTCTCAGGAGCAACTTTTGTGAGTCTGCAAGAGGGTTCACCACTAAGGTGCCTTCCACTTCTCTAGCTCCAAGGTTATATGTATTTTTAAAAGAGTGTAAAATATTACTCATCCAATGAGACTTTCATCCCCCTTCCACACTGATATAGTTCTGAAATAATTCCTATGGTTGGATGAGAACCAAATGAGTTCAGATGGGCATCATTGACTATGGACAACACCCTTGTCTGCATTACAGAGACAACACTGCTTTATAAAAAGCCCTGATAAGAAATTATCAAGGACCATAACTACTCTTAAATGAGGGAAACGAGATGTTAAAAGATCCCTTCTTTTATGTTGGCGTGTAATGTTTCCTGTTTACATGTACATTTGTTTTAATTTGATTTTATTTAGATTTATCAGTTTTGTAGGTGTGATTTTACTGGCTAATATTTATATAATTTTGTGATATTTTGGTCAAAGACCATAAATAAATTCCGTCTGTCTGTCTAAAAAGCCTGCCTTTCTCATTTTTTCCCCTTCAAGAATGTAGAGTACGGAAAAGTTACTTTTTTTGGAGTACAACTCTCAGATTTCCCCAGCCAACATAGCTAGTTGGTCATGCTGGCTGGGGAACTAAAAGAGCCCAAAAAATATTTTTTCCAAGCTTTATAATAAACAGGCCCACAGTAAATTCCAGAAGTATTTCTGCTAGGCTGTAAAAAAGAGGAAGACTGAAAGTAGTCTTTCCGGAGAAGGCAGCTCCACTGTGCTTTTTCTCTCCCAACCTGCCACTCGGCAGCCTTTCTGCCACATTGACAAAAGGGTACCCCTGCTTCCACCCTCGCCATACCAAGTAGTGTAGGCCTCTCTTATTGTTTTCTACGTAATCTGAGTTTAAGAATGTTTTGTGAGACACTATGGAAGCCTCTGGGGTCTATAAAATGGGACAGAAACATTCAAAATACATAAATATTCACACCATAAAGCCATGCCCCAGTCACTTTGTCTTGGTTATTTTCTGCCAGTGCCACTGCTGCTGCTTTGATTCTTCAGGGGCATTGCTGACTGTATACAAAGCCAATCACATTTTTAAAAGTACACTCAAAAATGGCAAAAACATAAAGTCAACACATGCAGTGTTGAGAAGGCTCAGAGTCAATTATGGAAGTGCAACATACGCTAAAATATCTGAGATGGACTGACCGGAAAAAATCTCCTCAAAATACCCAACCTCACTAAAGAATGAGTGAACATACTGCTGGCTTTTAGTTTCTTTTCCAGATATGGAACTTTTCAAATGAGCTTGCAGATGCTGCTAGTAGCATGTTAAGCTTGACTGAAAACTGGACCAGGCATAAGCCCTACCAATATGCCCTTGTTTTGAATAAGCAAGGGGGAAAAGGAAAAACTACCATTAGATGGCTCACTCTCAACATCCTTCAATTCTTCCTACCAATGCAGACAGGCAATTCCTCAAGCTGTTCTTGGTTTATT